ATCCCCTTGGATGTTTGCAGTCCCCTGGGAAGTGTTTGCAGTGCCCTGGGATGTCACTGCATCCCGTGGGATGTGATTTCCATCCCTTGGGTTATATTTGCAGTGCCCTGGGATGTGATTGCATCCCCTGGGATGTTTGCAGTGCCCTCGGATCTGACTGCATCCCCTGGGATGTGATTGTATCCTCTAGAATGTGTTTGGTGTCCCCTGGAATGTGATTGCATCCCCTGGGAAGTGTTTACAGTCCCTGGGATGTGATTCCATCCCCTGGGTTGTGATTGCAGTGCCCTGGGATCTTTGCAGTCACCTGGGATGTGACTGCATCCCTTGGGATATATTTGCAGTGCCCTGGGATGTTTTTGCCATCCCCTGGGATATGTTTGCAGTCCCGGGATGTGATTCCAACCCCTGGGTTGTGATTGCATCCCCTGGGATGTGTTTGCTGTCCCATGGGATTGCATCCCCATGGATCTTTGCAGTCCCCTGGGGTGTGTTTGCAGTCCCTGGGGTGTGATTCCATCCCCTGGAGTGTGTTTGCAGTCCCTGGGGTGTGATTCCATCCCCTGGGGTGTGATTCCATCCTCTCACCACCCAGGGATGGTGCCTGGCTCCGGGGCTGGGGGCTCTGTGTGTGCCTGGGATGAATTGCAGCTCTAATTGACTTCACCTCCTTGGATCTTGACCCGAGGAGAAAACATCTGGGCCTGATGTGATTTTATTGAGTGCTGATTTCATCAGCAAAGGGGAAAAAAAGGGTGGGAGGAAAAAAAAGGAGGAAACTTGCAGCCAGTTGGAGCAGCTCCCTGTAAACCTGTGGGGGTGATGGAGGATGGAGTGGCACAGGTCAGGCAGCCTGGAGAGGGGCAGCTGCAGGTTTGAAGTGACCAAACAGTGATGGCCTTCAATCCCCTCCTCTCTGGCTGGTGATGCTCAATGAGCCTTGGAGAAAAAAGCAGGAAAAGTCATGGAACAGGCAGAGAAAACCAAAATCCCCAATTACCCCTTTTTCCCAGGAAAACATCAATCCCACAGGGCTAAACCCTGATGGAGCCACAGGGAGTGGTGTCATTGCAGGGTCTGTCCCCAGCACAGCCTCGGGGTGACCCTGCAGTGTCCCCAGGCTGGTGGCACTCGTGCCCTCTGTGGGCACAGGGACCCTGCTGCTGCCAGGGATCCATGGGCTGGGTGAGGGTGGCCCTGTCAGTGCAGTGTGGTGGAGCTTTCACTCTGCTGAGTGACCTAATGACCATTCTATTCCCCTTCAAGCCAAAAATCATCCTCTAAGTCCTGACACTCATGTGGGCTTATTGAACAGCAGGTTGGTTTGGGGATTTTCCCCCTCCTTTCTTCTAATTTTTTTTTTTTTTTTTTTTGCTTTCCCCCCTCCTGCTTGTCCTTTCAGCTGCTTACAATCTTTCTGGGACAAATTTAGGCCTGGGCCGTGTCCCACTTGTGTCTGGAAAGTCTGAGCAGCCTTGGCTCCGCTGCCAGGAGCGAGGAGAAAGGGCACACAGCCCATGGCAGCTTCAAACTTAAAATGAAAGGAGCCAAATGCCAAAGAAAACTCCAGATCTCACTGAGCTTTGGAATTGAAGGGTGAGTGGGACGGCAGAGAGGGGATCCCCTGGGTTTGGCTTAGCCAAAAAAAAAGGTTTAAATGGAGCTGAGCTGCTCTGGGAGGAATCTGGAGGACAACTCACCTTGTTCGTCCTCTGCTGGTTAAGGGGCTGCTGCTTGTGTCGTGTCCACCTCTGTCCTGTGATGGGACAAATCCCACCCCAAAGGGGCTCTCTGGGCGTGGTAAATGCAGTGTTTGGGTTTTTGTGTGGGTGCCCCCACAGTCCCCAGCCCAGCAATGCCATCCCACAGGAGGAGGCAGATGGGCCAGAGGCTGCTCAGATTTTCTGGGGGAATGCTGCTGGTCTGCAGGGAAGGTGAGGAGGTGGCTGGGGCACGCTCTCTAATTACCTATGCAAGGAGCAGCTGGCAAAGGCTGAAGGGCTTTTTAATTAGCAGCCAAAGGCAAATCAGGATCCAGCAGCGGGGAAGCTGAAGTCAGCAAAGTCAAGGTGGAAATGTGAGGGCAGTTTTTCCAGTGAGGGTAATTAAGTGCCAGCAGAGAGCAGCGTGAGACATGAGGAATGGCCGTCATTCAAGGGCCTTAAATCAAGGAGAGGAGTTTCCCCTGCAGACATTCCTGCTCCTTCCATCCCTGCTTTGGCCCTGCTCCCTGCCCTCCCTCAGGCTGGTGAGCCTGGCACTGCCCGGGCATCCTGGTGCAGGGGCATCTCTGCTCATAACGAGCCAGGCAGAGAATTTAGGGAGAAAAAAGGGCTGCTCTTCCCCCTGGCCTGAAAGCAGCCAGCCTGCCCTCAGCGTGGCACACAGATCTTTCAGCACAGCAGCTTTCTTGAGCTGAGATTCAGCCTGATTTTCTGCCTGCACCTTGGGACATGGCAGTTCTGGTTCTCTAATGTCTTGGTTTGGAAAGACAGGAGTCTGCTAAGGA